TCTTTAAAATTGTTCAAAAAAAAAAAATTAAAAAAAAAAAACTAATTTCTTTCATTCGATAAATTGGCTTCGTTATGACGTCATGACCTTCGAAATGACCTCGCGCGACGCACGCGTGATACTTTCGATTTTTAAGAGAATTTCGTTGGCGCTTTTCGTACGGGCACTTTCGATTTTTCACCAGACGTAGCACGCGCTTTGACTATATTGGATAATCGCCAATCACGTGATGACGATTGGTGGGGTTAAAATACGTTTTAGGCTATTCGCAATCACGCTTATTTCTTTGCGTGATAATTTACATGAGTCACGAAGTAGCGGAAGCCGGTTTGAACGATTGATAACAGAGAATTAATCGTATTTTCTCCGGATAGGTGTTGTCCATATTTCGAAGAATGTTATGTTAATGCATTTTTGATAATCCCTTATATAAACGACATTTTACGTGGCATAATTTTTTTTGTAGTACAATTAACTATCGAGAACAAGTGGAAAGAGTAAAGGGCAGACAGACTCCGTAGTTTTGCAGCAACAGGAAAAAAAAAAAAAAAAAGATATATAAATTGATAAAGTTAGCCTATAAGTGAGGATTAGATTTTTGTATTTTTCTTCACATTTAGTAAGTAACACTATTATTTTCTTGTGTGAAAGATTGTACTACGCCTTTGTTTTTCTTGTGTGTATTGTTTTTTTTTTCTCGTTTTTCTTTTGTGGTGTAATATAGAAATTGTATTTCTTTTATTGGATAAAATTTATTGTTTTCTTAATTGCCAACATTGTTAATTTAATTGTAATTAAAATTGCTTACTTAAATTAGTGATTAGCTTTCGATGGATGAGTTTAATCTTCTTTATAATCTTTTATACGTGGTTTAAATTTTGCGTGGTTACTACTAGTCATTAATTTATACAAATCCAATCCAGCATGCGACTAGATGCACTTTCGATTATTATCTCATTAGATACATCTTTGTAAGTCTGTCAGTTAGAGCAGTCATTAAAGTTATTCTACTAGAATTAAAGGAAAAGTTATTTTGATATATATATATATATATACGTATTTTTAATAATGAATTTATACAGATGTGAAAGACTGAATATCTACTTTAGGAAAAGAAAAATTATATAAATTGGATTTATTAACAGTCAATGATTAATGTAGCATTTTATACTTGAATAAATTTTAATTTCGTGATTTAAAAAAAAAAAAAAAAAAAAAAGATTTACGGAAATGATCCGTAGCTGCATTGACCATGTGAAATACAAATGAATAAGAAATCGTTTTAGTTGCTGCTCATTAATCAGCAATAAAGTGATTTTTCTTTGAGATAGATATACTTTTAATTTATGATTATCGTACGGTCCCGTACACATGCAATAATGTTTTTCTAATTATATTCAAATTTAATATGCTTAATTTTATGTGGGGTAACTGTTTTTACCACGGAAAGAACTTATTATGTATACTTTTACTCTTACTAGAATTGAGGAAAGAATGGTAAGTTGCTGAATGGTTACGATAATACTTTTCTTTTTTTTTTCCTTTTTATTTTTTGTGTGTTAGGAAGGAATTCATTTTAATCTCATTTAGAAGTTTAAAATAGTAACCTCTCCAACCAAAAGTTTATGTTATTTTTTAAAGAAAAATATTCGAAATTCTAAAATTTTTCTTACTTGAAACATATTCTTGTACAGAAGAATATATTAGTGTCTCGTAGATATGCAATCATTTAAAATTTATATGTTATAATAGGCGCATTCCCGTCGAGACACTACAGTGCACCGAATTGTTTAAGAGTAGAGAAAACTAAAAGTAGTGTTGTTTATATTGTTACTTCAGTGCGTCCTAGTGTCGCCCCAGAGAGAACCAAGTGGAGAGCCAGTACGAGCGAGTCAGTGTGATATTAGTTTAAAAAATGGCGTCAACCAGGAATGAAACTTGCACAGTGGAAATTCTGCTTTCAAATGATATAATACTTGAACTTCAAATATATCCCGAGATACATTTACTGCTAACAACAGATAGGGGTTTTTTTTTTATGATTCAACACTGCGTTATAAAACTAAAATTAAAATATGCACGAGTATAAAATATCAATTCGGTTATTTAAAAATCTTTATTTTCTTTTAGGTATAACTTTCTTACTTTTTTAGATATACAATAAATATCTTGAAATTTTTTACTTTTTATTCATTCTCAGAATAGTTTCTCATGCATAACCAATAGTTTCTGGATAAGGGCATCCTTTCTGTGCTTGTTTTTAGAAAGTACTGTAGTTGTATTCTCCTGGTCTTCCTCTTCTACAAGATAGTTAACAGAGTAACTAAAGCTGTTGAAACTGCCGTAACATAACGGGTCTAACAAACAGCTGGTTTTCCGCTATGTTCTGCTTGTATGACAACTAAGGGATGCACTGGAATGCACTTCTAGCACTGAACACTCAAAATAGTCACCATGAACTTGTCAAATATTAAAGTAAAAATGTCTTAATAATGTAATTATAGTGTTTCGTTAGTAAACTTGTAAAATTTTAAGATGTTAACGCTTGCTTATTTGCTAGAATAATCGTCTTTGTGTTGATCGAAGAGAGATGATAAAATTTCACAATCTTGCCCCGATACGGCAAAAGTTAATTACGTTCAGACAAATTCAAATTTGAGAATGTAATCGACTTTATGAAAATCGATAGATATTATGTGATCATTGCATCAAAAAGAATTAATAAAATTTGATTTATGTAGCAATGTTCCATGATTATTTTCAAGAATAATGCAATACAAACCAATTCAATTATATTTTCATGTACTGTACGCTTTGTTTTCAAAAAGTTTTCTCTTTTCTGTAAAGTCAGACATTCGAAAAAAAATTGATAGAATTTCGAAATAAAAATAGAAAATTATTCCAATTAAGCAGTTATTCCACAAAATGAATACCCGAAATGAATGTTGCTGCAATGTATCATTAAAAATAATAGTGAAAAGCAAATCAGTGCTTTCTAAATAAGAACTTTTATTTAAAGAATTGTAAATTCTGAAAGGACTTTCTGATTTTACATACTATAAATCTGAAGGAATTACTTTTTACTTTACTGGTTTTTTTATATAACAGAGGGGAAGTATGGCGATCGGTCAGAAATGATCCTCCCAAGATTTTGAAACGTCGCGAAATGTAAGAAAATTCATCCATTTTGAAGTCGAATAAGGCAAAGACAAAAAGGCACAGGAGCTGAAGCTCCTGTGCCTTTTTGGCCTTGCAAGGAAGGTTAAGGGGGTAAGGGAATTGATGCTATGAAATTTTTGGTAATTAAAAGTCGAGGATGGGAGATAGAGGGATGTGTTGTGTGATATCTCGAATGGGGTCGGACTTAAGAATTTAAGGAAATAATTACATTTAAGGCTGAAATCAGTGATGCCAAAACTTTTCGTTTGGAGGGTCAAATTTCGCATAGGTCGTAGATAGGCGTGTCATAAATAGTTCGTATATTCCATACATATTAAAGTAGGTCTATTTCTATAATTTATAAGTGATGTACCAAATATGTTCGCGGACCAGATTAACGCGTGATGCGGGCCGGATTTTTGCTCGATGTTTGGGCATTATTGTTTTAAATTATAATTACTTTCGAATAACAATAAAACAGTTGAATGAATTTAAGTCAGAAAGAATATTCAACTGCAATGAAAATAGTAAGGCCACGATTTCAAAAATGGATTATTTTTATTTTTAATTGGATTATTTTATGTACATCGAATTATCCAAAATTTAAAGAATTTTGGCAAGATGATTATTATATTAATATATATGATTAGTCAAATACTATTTTATAAGTAAAATAATATCGAGTGTCAAAAATTTACAGTATTAGTATGATCATATATAGCCTATATATGTATTCTTATATACGATCATAAATATATACGTGTATTAAGATATTCAGAGAAATATCTTCTGTAATTTGTATGAAACGTTAAAGCAAAAGCGTAGGTTCTTCTATTATATACGCATTTTCATTGTCGTAAAATCAAAATTGATGATTAATTTAAACGTCATTCTAGTTCGAAGTAGCAATAAGCAGGAAAGACAAAGACAATTTAAACTCTAAGATTTTCAGGAAGGCTTTTCCTGCAATAATTTTATGTATAGTTATGATTAACAAAAAATTTTATTATTAGGCCTATAATAATCTAGCTAAGTCTACACAAATATTTATGTAGATTGTTATTTCTAGACGATAAAATATAAACACGAAATGACCGGTTCTGGAGTGATTATTGGATATGAAGATTACACATCTACCTCTGATAATCATGGTAAATTTTGTATGCTTTTTGCCCCCAACTAATCAGAAGAATGGATGTAATTTGTTTGTAAAGAATCTTTTTGTTGTTGTTGTTGTTGTTGTTTAA